CCCCCCCCCCCCCCTCCCCCCCTTGACCGACTGGCCATGTCTGCCGGGGCGGTGGATTCGCGTCACAGCGCCTGGTCGGGCGGTTAGAATACTAACATGTTTGTATCATACCAGACACTTCCGGCGCGGGGTTTTGTTTTTTTCTAGCCTTCTCAGGACCATCCTTCCTAGGTGCAGCTGTCGGCCGTGCCACCTGACAGGTGAGGGTGATATCTTGGGTTACAGATTTACCCTGGCGTGTACGATCTCGGAGCAGTCTATGCTTTGATGAAGGCAATCAACTCATGTGCTGCCCTGGTACACAGAGCACGCTACATTGGCTTACCATGCATTGCCCATGAATCAACGATGGTGGCGAACAACAAGAGGGCATCAGTATGTGATGAGGAAATGCTGAAGGAGGGAGAGAGGTGATCGACACAGCAATCATTCACAGTTATGATCATGCCGGTCACCACCACGACATTTGTCAGCAGTTGAGACTAAGGCGCCACGAACCTGGCGAGCAATCCCAGCATCGGCCTGATTCCTGCGATGAGGAGGGCGACAATCAAGCAAAGGTTGCGATCTCGCGACGCCCTCCTCAACCAGGCCGCGAAGCTGCCGGGGTCGGCCAGCTTGTGCGGCAAGTTCTCCGACCAATTCTCGGACACCATGACGACGCCGAACACCATCGATGACATCAGCACCATACACCATGCGATCAAACCCTGCGTCTTGATAATAGGATCCTGGCTGACCGGCCTTCACGGCTGCCAAAACGACGTGCCCCAAAGCAATAGGATCCTGGCTGACCGGCCTTCACGGCTGCCAAAACGACGTGCCCCAAAGCATACAAGCTGCAACACACAAAGGAAAATCGGCACGAGGGAACGGAGTCAGTTGAGGGCGCTATCCATGCCGCAACGTGTTCGTGTGCGCATGAGCGGATGAGAATCTGGAATATTCCAACGAGACTGTAGGAAGTGGCAACGCAGATAGGAATTGATATTCCCCTGGGTTGGTTTCATGGTTGCTCCACGGGGCTCGGCCCTGCGGGAGTGCTTGCTGTGTCGTGGCACTCTCCCTCTCCCGCCGCGTCCTGATCGTGCCTGCTGTACTAAATACAAGTGATACCATCATCTTTAACACACATACATGGGAATACTAACACAACGAAGCCATGCTGAGGCTACCCGTACGGGACAACGAAAGCGGTGCCTCCGAGTGTTTTTTCTCGTGGTAGTATGAAGGGAGCTTCGCACGGGAGATTATCGAATCTGTGTGCCGATTGCTTCCGCGAAACTGCTACGAAAAACGACGTCCGTGGAAGTTCCTTTCCTCTAGCGGCATTTTCGACTATTTTCTGCTGCTGCTGTGGTCGTCTTTGTCATCGTCTTCCCCAGAAAAAGCGTTCCGATCTCTGCTCAACATTCACATGACACGTCCGCAGGTCCACCTCACCCCGCATATACGAGTAGACTATAGGATCTAGTCCGGACTGCTGTATAGTCTACATGTCACGTGCGTTGAAAATGGAAGCATTTAAATAATAGCAGAAAGAAACCACGCTCATATGCCTGAAATGATCATCCTCACAGAACACCTTGTCGAAAGGAGTGCCCTCATCCTTGTGATCGTTTTGCGATTGCTCCGGTACGCCTGGGAGACTTCGCCATACGCACACATAGACTAGACTATGCCACAAGAAGTGGGGCACAGTCAGCGTTGTCGCGACCGATCACACGATGTAGCCCGACATGAGCACTCGCTTTGGCACACAATTGGCAGCCCCAAACGCGTTTTGATGAGAGAAGCCGGCATCACAGGAGTAATTGTAGGCGGCATCACGCAATAGGCATTGTCCGTCTCCTCCCCAAAGCGGGTGCCTCCATTGGTGTACACACATCTGCCACACTGCTGTTTGGATGAAGGCAAGCCAGCGAGACCTTTGTGGCTATAGGAGGGAAGTTGTTCTTTCTCGGGCCTGAAACCGAATTTGCCAGACGAAACGGCGCACAACGTACTCAACTCAGCGGTGCATCGTGAATGTAGCCTTAATATGCTCTCATCAAGAGGAGGCGTTACAATGCGGCGGCGTAGCAAACATCACCCGCCTCCTTGCCGAATCGGCACCTGGAGAATACCGCACACAATCCTGAACCGCTCGGTCAGCGGTGCCTTCGTAGATCTAATCTTGGGGGCACCGCGATTTTTGGTTCTCTTGCCCTCAACCCCCGTTGCATCAACGAGGAGCTCCCCCGGGGGTACCGGCCGCTCTGCCGTCTGCCCCTCTGCCCCCGCCGAAAAATCATCGTCGTGTTGTGTGCCTCTGTCTCGATGTGTATTCTACCGACGGACGAACCTACGATGCCTTTCATGTACCGGTCGCAGCAACGATCGATGCTCAGAAGACGAGAGGGAAGGAGGCATGAAAGCAACAGCAGCAATGCGAGTTGTCGATGCGTTTTTTTTGTAGCGGTCGTGTTGTTGTTGCAGCTGGTTGGCAAAGGATCGGCGAAGTCAGCAGGAGAAGCAGGAGGAGCACACCGACATCCGACCAACCCGCAGAGACCGCCACTGCCAGAGGCAGAAGCCTATGGATCCCTTGAAGCGACGAAAGAGGAGAGGAAGAGGAAGGAGTGTCACAGCACGCTCGGTCGACTTTCGCAAACTGCGTCGTTTGCTGTACCGGATGACGCCACCACGCAGCATCGGTTGCACATGCCACGCATCACAGGCCTTCGACGACCGGACTGCTTGGTGAGATGGCAGCAGGCCACCAGGATGTGTTGCAAAAGTCTGCAGGTAGCGGTTAACTGGTGACAACAGCAAGAGGCAGGGGGACAATGATCCGGCGGGTCGCGGAGGTATTGACGGGATATGCGGCGCAATACGATGTTCAAACTACCGTCGGCTGCTGGATCAGCAGCAGAAAAGATGGGATGTAAATTTAGATGTCAACTACACATGTAGATACAGCAGGGATAGAGATGGAAGGCCCGTCGGCATGATGCTGCTGAGAGTTTTGGCGGGGAACCCTGCCGGCTCGAGACCTGGTCGAGGTGGTGGTTCTGTGTCAAACCACCCAATATGCTCAAACACGTTCTCAAAAACAGCAGTGTAGACTATAATAGTCTCGTGTGCATCCCAAATCAAAGACATGTCCAGCAGTGTCGACTCGTCTATGCGTCGCAAACCAAGCACATCGGCAGCAGCTATGTAATGAATGGCAAATCAAACACATTCACAGCAATAGTCGCAATTCAAACTCGTTTGCAGCAGTAGTCTACGCATCGTGCCTTTAGCGTCCAGAACTATTGTGCAGTAGGTACACAGCAAGCGACTCTGCCGCTGCGCGGTGCTGAGGTGACCCTACACCCCCCTCCCCCCTTGCGCACCAGAGCGGCGGGTTGGATTGCCACCTGGTGAGGGATGTCAAGATGGCAGTGGCTGGGGCGATGGCCGGCGCTATTGCGACAGGTGGGCAAAAACAAAACTGTTTGGTGTGTACGCCACTCTCCTGTTGCTGCCTTCCCGAAATTGGCATGAATGCCTTGATGTGTTTTCAGATGTGCGAGGCAGGGTAAGGTGGAAACGACTGGACTGTAGTAACGCATAAGCATACTGCAAAGCGTTTTGACGTACTGCTGTTCAGTGGTGTTCCCTCAATAGTGCCGGTAGGTGACCGCGAGATTCACCGGCACATTATCGGCTACTGGCACTGTTCAAATTGGCCATGGATACTATAGTGCCTGACTACTGAGATTTCGATAGCCTCAATAGTGCCGATGAACAGCCTCGTGAACCCTTCTGACCCCGTAGTCTCCCCGGGGAGTGAAAAAAGTCGCAGTCTACGGTCAACAGCGAAAAGAACCGAGTGTTTGAGTCCGCGAATTCAAGAGGAAATGGAGTAGCCTAACCCAGCTCTCAGAGCGATAGTTCAAGTTGACGCGGGGAAGGGCATCAGCCACAACCCTTTCCGAAAGACTTGCTAAGTGGAAATCGTTTCCGACGGGTGGGTAGGGTCATCAATCGGGTGTGAGGCTCGCTCTTTTCCAACGTATTTTTGTTCAACTTCTTTCCCGATAATAACTTGGAACACTGCTCGCTTCTTTGAATCAGTCACTTACTTTTCTTTTTCAGTGCTTAAGGGGCACGAGGGGATCAGACTGTTGACTGTTGTCTCAAATATTCCATTCATGGAAGGTGGAGGCGTTGATTTGCCGGGGGGTGCTTTGTAACTCCCCCTCTCGAGGCCCTGGCAAGCCGGTACAAGTATGAGTTGCAGACACAGAACGATCCTCTGGTCTACCATTAGCAGACACGGGGGCAACTATTCGTTTCTCAGCATGTTGTGTGCCGGGAGGGCTTCACCCGTACTGCACCCCATGGAAATTTTTGGGAATACATCGTACTCCCAAATTTAGAATGGGATGGGCGACGCTTTTCCGTAAACTTGTACCACTATATTATAGTAGTATTTTTTTCTGCGTAAGACGAAAACCTATGAAGTTGATAAAAAAAAGTGTGACCTAAATTGGGAACGGGCTGCACTGTACCTTGACGATTTCACAGAACCCCTCTGCATTTCACTGCTTAAGAGGCAAGTCCTCGGCCTTCGAACACCCAACCCATCGATGTACATTTTATATACAACCCTTGTCCTTCTTGGTAACGGGCCTTTGACAAACGTAAATTGGTTCTAATGATTGCCTCAAACCTTTCTCCCCTCCCGTGTCTTGGGAGGGGAAAGCATGCGGAGACGCTGGTGTCATTCTTTCCTTTTTTTTCTTGGTTCTGTTCATGCGCGGCGGGTGCAGCCGCTTTGTTCCCGATCGACACGGCCAAGACGTTGCGGCAGGCCAACCCTAAGGCGTTCAAAGGCTCCCGCGATGCGTTGGCGCACATCTGTCGGTGAGAGACTCGTATGTACCGATGAGTGAAGTGTGCTTTGCCTAACCATAGTCTTGCTCTCGACTAATTGTCCTGGTTCAGCCTGTACGGGCACATGGCTTGCTTGCTTGCTTGCTTGCTTGCTTGCTTGCTTGCTTCCTTGCTTCCTTGCTGGCTGGCTGGCTTGCTGGTTTGCTGGCTTGTCACGGCCTTTTTTTTGTTTTGTAGGAAAACAACATTCTCACCACGGCGGCGGGATGTTCATCGGCGTGAGTGGCGCAACCCCTTCCCACGTGCTGCCGCCGCGTCCGTGGGCGTGAGCAGCATGCCGCAGGTCCACGACTCTCGTGCCCACCATGGTATTAAGCTCCACCGTTTCCCTCTCCGAAGATTGATTGGTACCCCCACCCGGGCGATTGTAGCCTGGGCCCGCGAAAAATCGCCCAACCTCGACATCGCGAGGTTAATGATCTGGCGACTACGGCATGCATTTACACCCCTCCTCCCCCCCTCCCGAAATCTGTGCTTCCCGAATGTTGGACCCGTCCCCGTTAGAACTCGAGGCCCGTGGGCCATTTACACGGGCATCCCGACCGCGGTTGTCGGAGCCATGCCGTCCTCCGCCCTGTACTTCGGGACCTACGAAGCGGTAAAGACCCGCCTGATGCGTGTGGCTGCCAACAACTTTCCCGCTGGTCCTGGGGGGCCACGCGAGGGGGAAGGCGGCGGGGGCGGGGGGGTACACCCGGCGGCGCGGGCGGCGGCGCATGCGGTGGCCGCGGCGTGCGGGAACGCTGCGAGCAGCCTGATCTTCGTCCCTAAGGAGTACGTCAAGCAGACGCTGCAGGTGATTTTTTTTGTAGTTGTCTTGGCCGGCGGAATAAAAAAGACACGAAACAATTGCAAAGCTGAGCCACGCGGGCGGAACTCATGTGCATGGGATTCTAGTACATGAGAATTGTCGCCTGATGCACCCCGATCGATTCTGTTTTCTGTCAGCTCCTTCTATTCTGCTGTCGATCATTCCGCTTCTGCTATTGCTGCTGATGATGATATGACGATGATGACATTCCTGCTGCTGATGGGATGATTGCTGCTGCTGCTGCTGCTGCTGCTACTGCTGCTTCGAAATCGGCTCTGCGGCTTCGAGAGCGCAGGCTTCGGGGATGGGGGCCGTGGGTGGTGCTCGAGAAACCGCGAAGGAGATAATCAGGCGAACCGTGCGGGAGAAGGGGGTTAGGGGGCTCTACCGCGGCTACTGGGCCACGCTCTCCCGGAACGTTCCCAGCGCCATTATCCGATTCTCGCTGTACGAAGAGATCAAGCTGTAAGTACCTCACCCCGACCTTCTTGTCGTGGAAGTAAGACCCGAGGGAATTCGAAGAACGGTCGCAGGAACGTTCGTAGCGCAGCAGCTCCGTTTTTGTCATTTCAGAAACTCGTTTGTTTTCGCGAAAATTCTGAGATGCAAGTAGTCGGGGGCGGGGTTAAGGTTGAGACTAGTCACCTGTCGTCCGATGTGGTAGTCCCCAGACTGTAAGACCTTGGCTTCCAGACGGAGCCGGAGAGGGCGGGGGAGGGGGGGGGGGGTACCCATAGTCGTGCATGCCGTAGTCGTTAGACCATTGACGTCGCATCCCTACAAAGCCGGGACGGAGCACGCCGGGTTCTCACCGGACCAGGCTTTCACACCACCAAGCGCGAAGCGCCGTGAGATATTCGGCGAGTCGCATGAAGGGTGCGCTGCATCCTGCCAAGGGTGTTCGGCATCTTGTCCTTACTTCCTTGCGTACGGATGACAGCTGCGTATGACTTAATTTATTTTCTGGTGCTTCAACTTCATAAGCACTGTGTAACTGCCTCGATGGTGCTTGACCATTTTTACACAATGTAGTGCGATCATCCCCCTTGCGCGGAGTGAGGGTTCTCGACCCCGCACAAGATGATCTACTTGATCACCATTATGGTTACCGCCAAAAAATTACCAGATGTACAAAAAAACGGTACCCTGGTTGCCGAGTTCACGAAGTGAATTGGCTTGTTTTACAACGTCGATGCCAAGCGACGAAAACCCAATCCCGATGGCAAACACCGATGCGGGGGGCTTGTTTTACAACGTCGTTGCCAAGAGACTAAAACCAACCCCGATGGCAAACACCGGGGGGGGGCGTCTTGTTTTACAACGTTGTTGCTAAGCGACGAAAACCCAACCCCGATGGCAAACACCGGGGGGG